AGGTCATCTTCTTCTGGTTCTTGATTACTGTTCTCCATTGTGTTTCCTCACTGTGAAGGCTTTCTTGAACTGTTTTTTGAAATGTGCAGGGCGCCAAAAACGATTATAAAGATGATATTGCAGTAGTTGATGAAAGTAATCTCTATAAAATAAAATAAGGGGTAATTGCAGCAAAAGCTTCAAACCTTTGAAATATTAGCAAATTTTTTCCAAACTTTTGATCCGTTGCACATGTCACCCCTAACATTTTTAAATGTTGCAGGTGAAGCCTTTTGGACATTATTCATTCATAATTTTATTAGTTGATCAAAAATTTAACGTTGACCACATTTTTAATATTTTAAAAAGGAGTAAAAGAGTAACTTTCATTTATCACATTAAATGACTAAATAAAATACACACACACACCGTGTCTTTTTCCTCTCAACCCTCACCCACCTCAAACCCAAAATCCCCACCGACCACCGCCACCTCCATCTCCATCTCGACCACAAACTCAAACCCTTGTCAACAACTTGACCGCGTCTAAATCCCTACGACGAGCTACACAATGCAAGGCATAAAATCCTCCAGCAATGCGATTTTCCTTTTCAAGGGCAAACTCAAGCATCACCTTTTCAAAGAGATCTCTATTTGGACTCAGTTTAGACAATGTAATAGCAGTTTCACCAAACTTATTACAGAGCTTTACGTCAGCCCCAACATAAACAAGCAATCAGAATGCATCAACATGACCCTCCTTCGCCGTAACCATAACCACAGAGAAATATCTTTCATCCTGCTTATCAAGATCAATGTCTCCCTGTCCAATCAGAGCTTTCAAGTCTACAACATCTCCTGATTGTGCTACAAATAGTAAAGGTGAAAATACATTAGTGTTGCTGGATGTTGGCACTTTCCCACTTCAAATCACATCTGCTTGTTGAAAGCCAAGATAACATCCACACGACCCAGCAATAGAACTTGCAAGTTGGCCACTTATATTAACCAATCCAAAATCAGCACCTTCCCTGGCCAATACTTTAAGGCAATCTTCATGCTTGTATTTGACACAGACCATTAAAGTTGTTTCACCAATCTTTGTTTTTGAATTCAGATCACAGCTAGAATCAATTAAACACTGAAGAATCGTTGTCATTCCAAGACGGGAAGCCATATGTATTGGCGAAACTGAGTGTTGACAAGGGTTCGAGTTTGCATGGACGTGGAGGTGGAGGTGGAATTGGCAATGCTCGGTGTGGATTTTGGGTTTAAGGTGGGGTTGGAATGAAGGTTGAGATGAAGAAGACATCGATGTGTGTGTATTTTTTTATATTTTTTATTTAATTATTTAATGGATAAATGAAAAGCTACTCTTTTGCCCCTTTTATAATACTAGTTTTGGCCCATGCAATGC